CCAAATTCTCTTTACCTGTTTAAAAGTACAAAAGTCACAACTGAAGGAAAGAATTCACCTTTTCGGCGTTAGATTGCACTTGTAGTGTCACGTGACTTGGGATGTAAACAAACCGCGAAAGTTTAGACTTTGAGTCAACCACCCACGGCTCGAGTCCGAACTTCGGCTTCGGCGTTTTGTCGCAAATAGTTTCCCCTCTGTCGCGCCATAAAATAATAAAAAAACAGTCTATGTACTATGATGTATCTTCTAACGCGCGTTGATCGTTAATCGAAACTGTTTTGCACTTCGCCGACAGATGTTTTTTAATCAAGCATTTTTTATGTTTATTTAAGATAAAGCATTTTTTTTTTTACCTAAGATATCATGGGCTGTCAAGATTAGTTCATATACTTGAGTTAGATTAAGAAAGCGGCAGTAAGGAATCCGAGATCAGGTTGAAAGGACTGTGCTTCATTCGAAAAGTGTGTTTTCTGCCTCTGTGCAATGACTGGGAAATATCGCGTCTTAAGCGGGATAGCGCCTTACAGAACTGTGAGTATATCAACATTGTACGTATTCTTGAAAGCTTTTTTGTCGCTTCTGTTTTTGTTATGTCCGACATAGGCAATCCTCACGTGTGTTTTTTGCTTTCAGTTGACTAGCTAACGCGTGTGCAAGAGAAAACTCGCTGAATAAAGTAGTTAAAAAAATTGGTAGAACCCGAGGGCTTTATTTTCCTGGTGAATCTTCAACACCAGTAGTGCCCAAACCCGTGGTGCAAAATAGAAACCCCGTCTGATAGGAGATTATTGCCCACGAAACGCTGTAGAACTTGATCAAGCCTGGATTCCCACACAGAATTTCAGTTTCGTTTTATATCGTATTGCATGGAATGTTTTATGTAACGCAAAGGGGAAATCCTGCCAAACCAGTTCAATCTTCAAGAGAAGTTGTAGCTTAGAATAGCAGATCACAACTTTGCGTGTGGGAATCGCCTCCGCAGTCGAAAAAAGAGTTCTATTAGTGTGTCCAAATTTCGAAAAAGACGGCACCACTACTTCAGGCAAATCAATAATTCATGATATGTTTATTCTCAATCTAGTTTTTTTGAAGACTGTGAACAATTTTAACGCTTCGTAGCCGTTTGGATTGTAGGATATTTTTAATCATTTGATTTACAACTCCACCGAGTCAGGCATGGACTCGTCGCTTATAAATAATTTGAAGATTATCGCCTATTCGATGATCGTTGGTTACGTATCGTAAGCATCAGAAGTCTCGTGACACTACACGTGAAATCTAACGCCGAAAAGATGAATTATCATTCAGGCCCTGGAAGTCTGACGGTTAAGGCAGGGGAATTGAGAAAAACGACCAGAAACCATCTCTTACATGCATGTTAATGCTGTTTTTGTTTCCTTACTTTTTATATAGAATAACAGCTGTTTGCGTGAAACATCACTGCAATTCAATCCCTTCTATGGCTAATCCAAAATGACTTTTGTTTGTGGATTAGAAAGTGCAACAGCAGCTTGATTCGCTGACTAATTAATTATTGGTCGTTTTAGCTTAATAGTCGTTGTAATTCGTAATGTGAGGGTATGCACCAATGGCAGCACATTAAGACGCACTTGTAAAAAAGAACGAGCGAACGTGCTCTTTTGGAGACTCGTGTTCAATTAACCTCAGTGACTAACGAGAATCGATTGTGAAAACAAACCAATCTCTCGTGAAAATGTATAATATATCTTACTCTCTTCACCACTTTAACAAAGCAGTAAATTTTGTATCGTAGGAAAGAGACACATGTGTGGTCATTAAGGAAAAAATGACAAGAAACCTCTGACGAATTTGCATGCCTTTAAAACGTGTTTACCAGATGTAACTGATAAAATAATTTTAATAAAGTATGTACCCCTAGTTAAATTTGTAAGTAAGCAATTGAAAATTGCGAGTAAATGTGACTCAAATAGTCAGATTTAACGCTCAGGAATTGTTGAGAAATAATCGCACAATAAAGAAAGTTGTTACAACCGTGAAGGTTTCGACTTTTTAGAGCAAAAATGGCTATGAGAGATTTATGGAAACACAAAAAACCATCACGAAATCATTGAAAGTCTCGGAATTTTTGCAATGGACGAGTCTGATATTATAGTTCCTTCATTAATCAAATTGTGACGCGTGTTTTTAGCAGGATTCCTACCTGCAAATTGTGACACGTGTTTCTAGTAGGATTCGAACCTGCAATAATTCGTGTATAAGGCGGACGTGATAACCACTCCATTACAGGAAAGCGGCTTGTAAGCATGGCTTTGTCCGCCAAGAGCATCTCACTCATGGCGGGATATGACGTAGTATTTCAAGGTCAAGAAAAAGCTCTGAAGGCTTTTGCGATATCGGCTCAATTTTGGTTTTATTTCTGGTTACTTTTAAATTCGCTGAGCCGGGTTACAATTTGGACTAACGTAAACTTTAACGTCATTTTGACAGTGCACGTATTGTATTATCGGAGAGCTCAATTTTAAATTTTGTCTCATTGCTGTTTATTGAATAAAGATTAAACTCACGCATACAACATTTGCAACTGCAGAAGACATGGCCACAGGTAAATGATGGCTTTGTATTGTTATTTTACCTCGTGAAAAAACAATCATACCGACTGTTGCTGTTACATGATTTTATATTCAAATTAGTTATAAACTGCGTCCTCGCCCTATGAATTTCTTTTCGTTATTGAGGTATCAAAGTTCCTCTGTCGTTCATATCACAGATTCCTGTTGCTTTTATAAAACTTGAAACTTTAGGGAAATGGAGAACTTCTTTGACATTGCAAACCGTAGGATGCTTTACAGAATGAAAGATTTGTAGGTGAATCCTGATAGTCGGCTATTATGTAAGTTATAGCGCTATGAGAGAAAAGAGTTTTCATTTGCGGCAACCCAATAAAATGTCGAGAGTTAAGTGAGAGGAGCCGCTTATTTTGCAGAATATGACTGGAAGTAGAATTGCACTTATCCTCAACTCAAGTTTAACTGGCTATGTGTAGTTTACAACAAAGAGTGTTTTATTTATGAGAATAAGTGTTGGTTACAAAGAGAGTTTTTCTTTTAAGACAGTAAGTACTGAATAATTTATGCGAAACTTCTGGATACCAATTACCATTTCAACAACGACATTGAAGCTTCTATAGTTCACAACAACATTTGAATGATAAAAATTGATAAAGTGGATCTGAAATTTATTATCTTCACAACGGCAATGAGGCTTCTAGAGATGACCAGATTATTTAAATGATAACAACTGATAAACTAGTTTTGAATTTTAAGGAAAGGCAAAATTCACAGTTTTGTATTGTTTTTAGTTTTCAATCCTTGAATAAGATGATATATTCCAGTGTTGATTCAGACAGAAATGGCTGACGTAATTAATACTTGGCACAGACAAATAGTTCTCTTTGACATTTAATCAACGGTTACAATGTTAATTATTCTGTTATTCAGCTCTCAGAGCATCCTTTCAATTAGCCCTTCCATTTGACTATAATTGCAAACAGGTAAATGTATTAAAAAAGAAAAATATTAAATAAACGTCTACGAACTCCTTTTACATTAATCAAAATCTTCCCAAAGGTGTTCTAAAGCTGATTATACGCACCTAAGACAAAGTGTCGACCAAAAAAACAAAACGAAATGAATTTTTATCTGTGTACTGTTCTATTTGTGTTATTAATGCCCAAAGTCGTAGCATCTGAAGCATTTCTTTGTAAGGAAGCGTCTCTTTCTTATCCTGTGATAACACAATCATCGCCGCCTTTTTAAGGCGTCACGCTTAAAACATTTCACCTTGCATGCTTGGTATCCTGTGGTTTGCTATATCAGAGAGACCCTCGAAGCGTTTCAACAAATTTCAGAAAAATTTCAAAACCAAGGGAACCTGTAAGTTAAACGATAGGGGAGTCTTCCCTCTTGAGGAAGGAAAAGAATTGGAATGTGACAAAGAAGCTATTTACACTCAATTTTGAGTCAAAAAGGTAACAAAAATTTGTCTTATCTAGTTTAGTTATGATCCACACAAGAAGTGGGCATCTTCAAAATGTGTGTATCTGTTTATCCACCGAAACGCACCTAAATAAAAGACGGAAAAGCTATGATCTTCGCTTTGTCACGAGAAGGGGACTAAGCTTACTGATGGTTCTCTGTTGGGCGGCAGTGTAATATCAGAACACGAAATCCTCTGACCTGAGTTTTTATTTTTTTCATGACATCTTTCTGGTAAAACATTTATCTTTCCCACGTTAGAAGTACAAATTTACCATCTGTGTTATCTGTCTTAATAATGTACCTATCCTTTGATCCTTTTCAAGTTATACTATGGTGCAATGTCGGGTTTTTATCTGTCGATGAATAATCGCGAGTGGAGAATAGTTAGCGGCGCTACTGCGAATATTGACTATATATGGGCTACTTTCCAAATTTTCAATATCTTTGGAGAAATGATACTTGCAAAGTCCTCCAAAGAACAATGCGGTTAGAGTTAATTGAGTTGAGTCTTCGTAACTAATTTTGTGGACTGAAAGAAGGTAAAATTCATAATTTGAGACACAAAACCGAAGTTCTTAGTTTATGTTAATAATTTAAAGACGAGTCTCTATTTGATGATTAACTAGGATGGCTAGTTGATTTCCTTATAGAAAAATGAATATTTTCATGTCTGCGCGGCACAACCGTTAAGTTTTCAAGGAAGAGTTTAAAGTCGTCAGCTGCAAATGTAAGTAGGGCTGAGTAAAAACATATTCTTAAAACTAATGTCTAAGATCCTACACTTACATCACTGAGGAGTTACTCGTCTGAGCCGCCTCTTGTCTTTGTGTCAAGAGGCTTCCCGTCAATACGTGTGGAATCTCCCATTGTCGTGACCCTCCCCGAACCATTTCTGGACCTTATCTGCTACCTTTAAAGTCCTCGAAGGTGGTTTAAAAAGAAAAAATATTGCGCGGGAAAATACTTCGAGGGTCATTTATGACAAAAAAAAAAAAAGGTGAAGAAACTAAGAAGCTGTGTAACACGTTTAAGATCCGTATTTTCCCAATGAAAACTCATTCATAATTTCAAATACAGTTTGCGCCTGCGCCAACGCTTTTTCTTGGTATTTGGTGGGTCTGAGACGGAGTCGAGATACTTGAGAAAACTAGAGAATGAGTGGTAGAAATAAGTGAGATCAAACTCTGTTAGTTTATATCTATATTTATGTTTGATTTCTGATGAACATGTAGAAAAGCATGAACTTAGGTTCTAGGTTTTTACCGTCATGTCTTTCTTTCTAACAATTATTGGCAATTCTATCGTCATTTACGCCTTTTGGACTGCCCCGAGCATAGCTCCTCTCTCAAGAGTTTTCTTTAGCAATCTCACTGTGTCTGATTTGCTTGTTGGTTTGGTCGTCCTGCCGCTCTCTGCAGTCTTTAGGGCAAGAATTTTGATCAGAATAAACAATCAGAGTAATGATTATAATAGTAACCTGGAGTGCGACATCAGCAAGACAGTGGGGTTCTTCGCTCTATTTCTCTCTGGGGTATCCCTCAACTCTATCGCAGTCATAGCTGTGGATAGATATCTTGGGTTCTCACTTCATCTACATTATCACGCGTTGGTAACCGCAAAGAGAGCACTCATCGTAGTGGCAATTGTCTGAGTTTAGTCTTTGCTTATGACTCTGGAATCAATGGTTGTTTTTTTTAAAATGATATTGTTGAATCTTTTCTTATAGTATTTAAAATTGCAATCGCTAGATGCGCTTACAGTAAGATTTACAAAATAGTGCGTCATCGTTAGAGTCAAATCTTCGACCAAGCTGAAATTAGGAATCAAAATAACCAATTGGTGTGATTATCGCGCGCGAGTAAGCTGGCCTTTAATGTACTGAGGCATCTATGACATCATCTCTCCTTTTTTCCGAAAGTGACCTAACCCCCGGTCGTTCATTAGCCTTGGGCACGAGTGTATCAATTTCTATAATTTTGTGTAATTCTTGCGTAAATCCATCGGTGTATTGCTGGAAAATTCGTGCGGTTCGCGTGAGAGCCATCAACCTTCTGACGCGTATACTTCCAGGATGGAATACTCGAAAGCAGATCTAGAAAGAAGAATATTAAAAGTACTTTGTTACAAGATATTTAACAGGCGAACACACTGCGAAGCGTTTGTTTTAAATAACTGGAAAGAAAAGTTGTAATTGTTAATAGAAAAATGTGAAAAGCGCTCGTCTTTTAAATAAGTAACATTTGGTGAATCAACGTTTAATCGCTAAATATAGAGTCACCATGAAATTTCAGCACAATGCTGTTAAAAGTAGACTTAAATTTTCGACTGTTATACTGCCTGTCTTAGTAGAGTATTGAGGCTGAATGATACGCATTGCCTACATGGCTAGCTGCTATGGGAATTGATTTATCAATAGATCTAGAGTGGGTGTGGTTGCGCTACAAAATCTAAGAGCCACCTTAACTTAAAGGTGACTTCATCATCGTCCTGATCTTTTTTATCAATTGTCATCATTGCCTCTAAAATTGGAAAATTTCATAACATTTCAGCTTTCTTTTAATCTCTATTAATGTCATCCATGTCTCTGTGTTAGCATTAGCCTACTAGCTTTCATAAACTATAGAAGCTCACATGAAATGAATGCGAAAGCGATCTTCGCAGTAATAAACACTTCTTAAGCAGTAGTGAAAATATGACCTGAAAAAAAATTCAGGCCTGTACGGGATTTGAACCTATGACCTTTGAGATACCGGTGTAGCGCTCTACCAACTGAGCTGACAAAAAGCCAACTGGGAGCTGGTCAGTATGTTGGTTAACAATGAGCCCATGAAATGATGAATAAATGACCTTTTTCAGGCCTTATTTTCACAACTGCTTAAAGCTCATATGGTTTAATAACTATGAAGGCGGGATAAATGTTATCAGTCAACATTCCGTTTTGCATATTTAAGTCTAGACTAGCATATTTAATGAAATTAATGTGTGCATTGTGAGGTAGTGTAATTTAATTGACGTCAGTGTTTTCATACCGCCAATTCATTATTGCGTTCACGAGACTCGAAAGGTTTATCCATCGTTGCCATATTGTATCCTTTATAGCGAAAGCCACTGGGTCCTTTACCCGTCTCTATGTCTCCATTGTGACGCTTCTCACCGCTACCTTTGTTGTTTGTCCACTTACATTTACAGTCGCTGATTGAAATTTGTATCCCGACACATCCATGACCCAGCTATCGTCCCTCCGTCTCTCATTCCTGGCGCGAAAAAGATCTTGTATTCAGTCAATGCTCTGGAAGTCAGGAACAGTACCGCATTATCGACTACTCTCCCACAAAGAGACACCAGCAAGAGCAAAGAGCAAATACCTACCCGTTTGAGCAGCTCCGTTTTTTCATCCATTCGGGCCTTATTCTCTTTGCGTTAACCTTATGGGAGAGCCAGAATATCGGTCCACTCATACGCACCCACTACCCGGTCGGTGTCGTTTTGTGACAGAGCAGAAGCAACGACCCTCTCATGGGAGAGCATAATATATTTGAATAAAGGGGTGAGTCTCTAAAGAAACTGTGTTGCTGCGTCGGTGGAAAAGTATAACAACTTAATTTTGTTTTATTGACTGAGTTGATAACGTAATTTGGCCACCGTAAAGAGTTTCCAAGGCGACGTTTCAAGCGTTAGCACTTCGTCTCTCGCTCAGACGAAGGGCTAACGCTGGAATGTCAGCTTTGAAACTCTTACTGTTGCAAATTTACGTTATCGACTCAGTTGATAAAACCTTATTACCTTATCATTTATCTGATCAGACGAAGTGGCTAAGCTTTGTTATTATATCGCTGGCAGTGCCCGTGGGAAGTATGAAGTGAATCCTGTTCTCTGATTGGCTATCTAAGCGGGCAAGATGGCCCATCACGATCTTGGCGATGTAGTCGCAAAAAAACTCGACAGAGGGAGGTTAAAACAAAGAAAACATAAACAACTCACCCGCGTTTGCTTTACTACAAACACAGTTGGCCTTCTCGTCCGGTTCTCTCATATATGTTTTTTGCATTCACCTTTCACAAATGATCACTGCTAGAGTGGAAAAAAAAAAGGTTGCAGTCTCTTTCATTCAATAAATTTTGCTTATTGCCTGTAAATTTTTATGACACTGATGCCCTAATATTGTCATAGTGGCAAAAGTTGTAAGGAAGATACATGGGTTGAACTCAAATCAAAGTAAATGATTATTTAAGAAAATTATTTGCACAAGTTGTGGAATAAATATACTTTTAATTGTATTTCAATCTGGGTACTTGTCCTGATAAAATGTTATACGATCAGACATATAAATAATAAAAAGTAAATAAATTTCTTTACTTGCCCATAACACATTATATCTTTGATTATATAAAACATGGGCATTCTCCATTTTATACAAATTTTATGTGATTACAACTTTATTCACATGTCCATAATATAACTTACAACTTGAATCATGCTTAAATTCTCCATTTTATACATTCATGGACTTAAATTTATAGACACAATAGGGATAGAACATCATCTTTGTTCCAAAAGGAACACTTCCAACTCCAATTTCCTCTTTTTTAGCTTAAGATTTTCCTGCTTTAAAATTAATGCTTTGTACTGGGCCTCAAGAACGTCGTCTTGTGTTGTCTTTCTTTTACTCTTTTTTTTATGATGATTTTCTTCTTTCGGTGTATTGACCACTTCATCATCGATTTCGTGGGTGTTGGCTTCATCTTGCTGCACAGCTTCTTGGAGTTCTTTAAACAGGTCTTCATTCACCTCAATTGTTTCCAATTGAGCAGCTACTTCCGTAGGTTGGTTTGCTTCAGGGCCTTAAAAAAACATCCCCACATATTACGGTCGAAAAAAGTGACTTCTTGTTTAAAATTACTTGTCATCAGTTCAAAGGTTCAAAGTAAATCATGACCGAAATGACTGGTCTAAATTCACTGAAAGTACTGGCTGTTCAGTTCAAGACAGGTCTCTTTCTAGGAAGCTTTGAGGGAGTCTTGAAGAAATGGTAAGTCTAAAAGCTTTTACTCAAAGCTTCTGCAGTTTTAGGAATATTTGTTATTTTTGTGCTCGCCGTGGGTTGCGTGACAAATAGTGTAACAAATATGATAATCAAAGCTAATAAAGGCAGTGTTCACACTTGGTGCCCGGGCACCGTGCCCGGGTTCTATTCTACGCCGGGCACCAATGTGAACACACCTTTTTTCCTGATACCCACGCCAGAATTCGGGCACGGTGCCGGTGCCCGAGTACAAGGTCTCGACCAAGGTCTTACCAAACATAGTCGAAACGACTGGCTAATCGAAAGGGTGCTCTGTAAGTTGGATAACAGTGCGATTTCAATTGTTGATTATATGTTAAAGAAGATGACATTTCTGTGTCAAGTGTAAATCTCGTCAGCCATTTTTGTCTGAATGAACAAAGATCTTATTTGACTCAGGGATTAATAATATAAAAAGACCTCTGCCGCCCGTTAAATTTCTCTAGTTTATTACACCCATTTTGAAATCACTGGTGGTCCCAGTAATCTGATTGGCCCTAATTGGTGCGATTTATTCACGAATCGCACCATTTTTTGCTTTAAATCGCATCATTTTCCCAGCCAACGAGGAGGCTACACTGAAAACAAAACAACCAATCAGATTTCAAAGCTTATTTAAAGTAACCAATGTAATTGCAGGAAAGTGAAAGACAAAGAGTATCATTAGGGCAAATTTTGCAACCTTTGTTTTCAAAATTCTTGTTTTTCCCCCCCCAAAATGGATGAATTTAATTTCAAACTAGCTTAGTATTGCATCAATAAAATATTTGAACTGACCAAGTCCTGTACTTGGGCGATTTCAAAATGGATGTAATAAAGTGGCAATTGAACATTGTGCCGTGTAATTTTGGTCTGAAATCATACTTGTAATTTCAAATCGAAGTCGCGCTGTGTGCTTGTTCGATTTTGAAATCACACGTATGATTTCAGTCCAAATTGCACTCCACTCAGTTCAATTAACATTATTTATCAGTTGTCACCACATAGATTTTCCTGTTAACTATAGATTCCTCGATGTAGTTGTTGAGATACTAATATTGTTATCTACCGTAAAAGTTTCTGAATAATTTATTTAGTACTTAATCTCTTTAAAAAAAAACACTTCTCGTGGACAAAATATACCCAGTTACAACTGAGTTGAAAGTTAATGCGGTATTGAGCAAAATTTTTTAGAAACTTCTATACACCAGTTATTATGTCAAAAACCGCATCAAGGCACCAAAAAATTTGAAAGCAAATAGAACTGCATTAATTTTCAACTCAGTTGTAACTGGACATATTTTGTCTGCGAGAAGTGTTCTATTTGCTTTCAAATTTGTGATGTCTAAACTCTGAGCATTTCGTTTCGTTTCCTTCGATGGAAACTATTTTGTTTCATCACTCTATAGCTCGCAGCCATCGCCGATTATCAGTTGTTATCACTTAAATGTTATATTCGACGATAGAAGCCTTGATGCAGTTGTTGACATAATAACTGATGTCTAGAAGTTTCTGAAGCATTTAGTGAGTATCGCATTAATTTTCGACTCAGTTGTAACTGAGAATATTTTGTCTGCGAGAAGTGTTTTTTTCAAAGAGTGTTTTTTTCAACGGTAGATAACAATATTAATATCTCAACAACTACATCGACGAGTCTATTGTTACCATGAAAGTCTATATGATAACAACTGACAAACTAGAAAAATTTAACGGACGGCAGGGTCATTTTTTATTATAACATAGCGCGTAAATTTGTCTAATAAAATTTAATTGCGTGAGCGTGTTTCATATTCCTATTGTGCACGCTCATGACGTCGCAAACAAATCCCTCGAGAATTTTGTATTCGATCAGAAAATAAAGTTGAAATCACCTGTCAGTTTTACGACCAATCTAAGAAAAGATCGTTAACAGCGTAGCGAAATGTTTTCCTGAAACAAAATTATCAACGCGCTGAAGGGAAGTTTGGAGAACACTCAAGAAGCTAGAGTTGCTCGAGGCGTAGCCGAGAGCAACTCTTACGCATCTTTCGTGCTTTCCAAACTTCCCACGTGCTTCACATCTCGATGAACGCATGCCGACGAATGAACCAATTGTTAATTTTAAATCTCTGAATCAAATAAGATCTTTGTTCATTCAGAAAGAAATGGCTGACGAGATTAATACTTGACGCGCAAATGTCATCTTCTTTAACATCTAATGAACAATTGAAATCGTACCGTTATCCAGCTTTCACTGCATCCTTTCAATTAGCCAGTCGATTCGGCGGCTATGATTGGTAAGATAAATAATAAAAATCTCCAAATTTTATGTAAATTATTCAATATCATCCCCTTGTTGACTTCTGATGAAAACGCCTGCGACACAATTACAAAGCTAAGGAGTACGCACACCTTAGACGAGGTCATCACCAGAAAATCAAAATGAATTTTGCTCTGTGTGCTGAACTTATCGTGTTATTAATGTTCGAAGTCGTATCTTCTCAAGCATTTGTTTGTAAGAAAGCATCTCTTTCTTGTCCTGTGATAACTTACAATCATCGCCGACTTAAAGGCTTCACGTTCAAAACAATTCACCTTGCAAGCCTGATATCCTGTGGTTTGCTATGTCAGAGAGACCCTCGATGCGTTTCAACAAATTTCAGAAAAGTTTTCAAAAGTGAAGGAACCTGTGAGTTGAACGACAGAGGAGTTCTCCTTACTGGGAAAGGAAACGAATTGGAATACGACGAAGAAGCAATTTACACTCAATTTTACGACACGAAGGTAACAAAAAAAATCTCGATAAAAGACCAAGAAGAAGGTGTTATTGACTCCTCGAGACACTTGTCTTTCATTTGTGGTATCTTTCTCATAAAATCGTCATATTTCGACGACAGATGTGAAAACTTTCCATCTGTCATATTTTTTTCTTTGAATGTTTTTATCGTTTGGTCCTAAAGTAGTTTGACGTGTATGCGGGTAAAATGGTGATTTTTCATCTTCTTCCTTTAGAGGCGAATAGACTACATTTCATTGAGTGCTGATAATCAAAATGGTCTATGGTCATTCAAAGTAAAATAAGCAATTTTTCCAGATAACTGGTAATTCAAATCTCAGTATCATTGGATTCAATGTATGCAAACTGCTCCGAAGCTCAATAAAGTTAAATATTTTTTAAGTTGAAAGTTCTTAAATAAATTGAGGTGGACCGAAAGTAGGTTATACGGATTTAGTACACAAAATTCAGTATAAAATTTAGCTTGAAGCTAAAACTTTCAAGATGTATCTAAAGGCCTTCAATTAGCTCACTTGTGCAGTCTCCATTCGTCGATGAACCCGGAAGACTAAGTGATCTTCCGATAAAATAAAAAATGAATGATTTTTTGTTTTCAGTACCACTGTCAGGCCTTCAAAGAAGATCTAAAAGTCGTCAACTGCAAATGTAAGTAGCGTTGGTTTGAAGGGTATCCTTGAGATTAAAGTCAACGACTTCGTGGTTAAATTACAATGAGTTACTTGTCCCAGCTGCTTCTTGTCTCTCCGCTAATAGGTGCGGAGTCTGCCGTCCTCGCGAACCTTCGCGGACCCTCACAAACATTCCCGAACCTGCTTGAAACATTTCGATTCTTACATTTTCCTTAAAAGTCCTCGAATGTTGTCAAAAAAATTGCCAAGGAAAATGTTGCCTAGTTTACTTCTAAATTAAAGTAAAAATCAAGGCTTTAATTCCCATGAGTGACCAAGACAGAATTTCTCCTTACAATAACCATACAATATCAATCAGACAGGTGATGAGAATAATGAAGAATATAAGTTTGAGGATTTTCTAGTTGATCCAGTACCAAATTCTCAGAACTAGCATCATAAGAGTTGTATAGCAGACAGTAAGGAGAATTACTAATGAGATTTTGGGCACTAAAGGGTAAAGGAAACAAGAACCTACTGAAGAGGCCGAGGACACTCACTGCGTTATTCACAATTTCAAATGCCGATGTGCCTACCAAATACACCGCGAAAACATGATAGCGTTGAGTCATCAATGGGAAGCAATTTAAACAAATCCAGAAAATAGACAAGGCAAACTTCAGGGATCCAAAAACGATTGGATACTCCAAAGGTGCCGCGAATTTTCATTTGTAGTAGAGCTTCGACCATCACTTGTAAGTCGGAGAGATTTAACTCACGTGAAAGTTTTTATCGTTATCAAATTTTTTTTATCATAATGCTTGAGATAAAGTGGGAGGGTGAGACTGCACTTACTTTTACATTTCTATTCAAACGTTTTCAAAATCCTCCTTTTATTTCTATTCAACCGTTCTCAAAATCCTCCTTTGTTCTATGATAAACAAATCAATGTCCGTGCGATTGCATTTGTCTGTCTCAATTTCAGGTGCGGAATCACCAAAAGCCCCAGTTCCCCTCGGCATGGAAAGCGGTGCTATTTTTGACTCACAGATCACCGCTTCTTCCGTGTATAATGATAACCTTGCCGCACGGAATGCTAGATTACATTTTAAAGGATCCGAAAACCCGCTTAGACGTGCTGGCTGGGTACCTGGAGTGAAAAACACTAACCAATGGCTGCAAGTGGATCTTCAGCAAACCACAAGGGTAATAGGCATAGCGACGCAGGGGAGACATGATTTCGATCAGTGGGTTACTAAATACAAGCTGCAATATGGCGATGATGGACAAACTTTCAGAGTTTACAAGCGGAACGGAGACATATCAGACACGGTATGAAAAATATGCTTAATTGAAAAAACCTTTTTGCGGAGAAAAATGTCCCCCATGAGGAATAGAACCTTTTTGTATTCTGCATTCTAATTTTCTTCCACTGAGCCACAAAGCAGTTACACTAGGCTGGGCCATATACTCTCTGTCATTGAACCAACAGAAAAGCATTCACGAAAGTTATAGGTTAAGAGTAACTCGTACTGTAAAACGTACGTGCGTACTTACGCTCGTTAATTTTACGCCCAAATATATTCTACTCAGGTTTTTCCAGGAAACAAGGACAGAGACACAGTAGTTTACCACGATCTTAACCCGCTCATTTATGTTCGCTTTGTTCGAGTTCTTCCGATGGAATGGAAAGGGACAATCGCTATGAGGATTGAGCTTTATTCTTGTTAAGGTAACCTACTAGGGTCCAGTTGTGTAGCAATGGGCCGAGATTTTTTTTAAAAACGTATTCTGGGAGACGGAAGGTGTGCGTTGGGTAAGGGTGAGCTGTAATGGACTGACATTACATTTAACCCTTTATCTCCCAAGATCTTCATCCTAATTCTCCCGTCTAGCTGCTACACATTCCTTGCAAATCAGGTACAAGAATTAGGTGTTGGATCAGGATAACAACTTTTACCTGATAAGCGTGAATATTCTCATCACCTGTTTGCAAGATATATCTATGGATATTTTAGGAAAAAGTTTCATTTTAGTCACTTATGGGAGTTAAAGGTTAAGAGCGCTAGCAGTGCTCAGAAACCAAAGCGAGCCTCGGTTTAAGGCCAGTTGCCCTTTGAGTTTTACACATGTTTGTAATTTGTCATCGATAGAGCTCACGCACTTCACATAACATCCCCAACACCTATATCTTTTTTAACCCTAAGCAAAATACATTATTTGTTTTTGATAGAAAACCAATTTGTTTAAAAGTGAAAGAGTCACAACTGAAGGGAAGAATTCACCTTTTCGGCGTTAGATTGCACTTGTAGTGTCACGTGACCTCTGATGTAAACAAACCGCGAAAGTTTAGACTTTAAGTCAACCACCCACGGCTCGAGTCCGAACTTCGGCTTCGGCATTTTGTCGTGAATAGTTTCCCTTTGTCGCGCCATGGAATGAAAAACACTGTGATGTATCTTCTCAGGTATTTTCAGGGCGTTGAGCGCGTTGATTGTTAAATGAAACTACGTCTGATAGGAGATTATTGCCCACGAATCGCTGTAGAACGTGATCAAGCCTGGATTCCCACACAGAATCTCGTTTCATATCGTATTGCGTGGAATGTTTTATGTAACGCAAAGGGGAAATCCTGCCAAATCCAGTTCAGTCTTCAAGAGTAGTTGTAGCTTAGAATAGCAGATCACAAAATTTGAGACGGGTTCAACGCTATGAATGGGGTAGAAACTAAAAATATCTGCAAAAACGGGGCATTTCAGTCGGCAGATATTTCACAACTTTTTGTGTGGAAATCGCCTCCACAGTCGAAAAAAAGGGTTCTATAAGTGGGTCCAAATTTCGAAAAAGGCGGCGCCACTACTTCAGGCAAATCAATAATTCATGATATGTTTATTTGCAATCTAGTTTTTTTGAAGACTGTGAACAATTTTAACGCTTCCCGGCCGTTTGGATCGTAGGATATTTTTAATCATTTGATTTACTACTCCACCGCGTCAGGCATGGACTCGCCGCTTATAAATCATTTGAAGATTATCGCCTATTCGATGATCGTTGATTACGTATCGTAAGCATCAGAAGTCTCGTGACACTACACGTGAAATCTAACGCCGAAAAGGTGAATTATCATTCAGACCCTGGAAGGCAGAGGAATCGAGAAAAACGACCAGAAATTATCTTTTACATGCTTGTTAATGCTGTTTTTGTTTCCTTATTTTTCATATAGAATAACAGCTGTTTGCGAGAAACATCACTGCAATTCAATCCCTTCCACGGCTAATCCAAAATGATTTTTGTTTGTGGATTACAAAGTATAACAGCAGCTTGATTCGCTGACTAATTAATTACTGATCGTTTTAGCTTAATAGTCGTTATAATTCGTAATGTGAGGGATTTGCACCAATGGCAGCACATTAGGACGCACCTGTTTAAACGAACGAGCGAACGTTTTTTTTTTGGAGACTCGTGTTCGATCAACCTCAGTGCCTAACGAGAACCGATGGTGAAAACAAACCAATATCTGGTGAAAATGTATAATATCTCATACTCTCTTCACCACTTTAACAAAGTAATAAATCTTGTATCGTAGGAAAGTGACACATGTGTTTTCATTAAGGAAAAAGCGACAAGAAGCCTCTGACGAGTTTGCATGCCTTTAAAACGTGTTTAGCAGTTGTAACTGATGAAATTATTTAATAAAGTATGTGCCCCTAATTAAATTTGTAAGTAAGCAAATGAACCTTGCGAGTAAATGTGACTCAAATAGTCAGATTTAACGCTCAGGAATTGTTGAGAAATAATCGCACAATAAAGGAAGTTGTTACAACCGTGAAGGTTTGACTTTTTAGAGCAAAAATGGCTATGAGAGATTTATGGAAACGAACCGTCACGAAATCATTGAAAGTCCTGGAATTTTTGCAATGGATGAATCTGATATTATAGTTTCTTCATTCATCAAATTGTGACATGTATTTCTAGTAGGATTCGAACCTGCAATTCTTCGTGTATAAGGCGGACGTGATAACTACTCCACTACAGGAACGCGGCTTGTAAGCATGGCTTTGTCCGCCAAGAGCATTTCACTCATGGCGGGATATGACGTAGTCTTTGAAGGTCAAGAAAAGCTCTGAAGGCATTTGCGATATCGGCGCAATTTTGATTTTATTTCTGGTTACTTTTACATTCGCTGAGCTGGGTTACAATTTGGACTAACGTAAACTTTAACGTCATTTTGACAGTGCACGTATTGTATTATCGGAGAGCTCAATTTTAAATTTTGTCTCATTGCTGTTTATTGAATAAAGATTAAACTCACGCATACAACATTTGCAACTGCAGAAGACACGGCCACAGGTGAATGATGGCTTTGTATTGTTATTCTTCCTCGTGAAAAAAAGTCATACCGACTGTTGCTGTAACATGATTTTATATTCAAGTTAGTTATAAACTGCGTCCTCTTCATATGAATTTCTTTTCGTTATTGAGGTATCAAAGTTCCTCTGTCGTTCATATCACAGATTCCAGTTGCTATTTTGAAACTTGAAACTTTAGGGAAATCGAGAACTTCTTTGACATTGCAAACCGTAGGATGCTAAGCTTACAGAATGAAAGATTTGAAGGTGAATCCTGATAGTCGGCTATTATGTAAGTTATAGCGCTATGAGAGAAAAGAGTTTTCATTTGCGGCAACCCAATGAGATGTGTGTGTTGAATCACTCGTGTTATTAATGTCCGAAGTCGTAGCCTTTCAAGCATTTCTTTGTAAGGAAGCATCTCTTTCTTTTCCTGTGGTAACTCACCATCATCGCCGACTTAAAGGCTTTACGCCCAAAACATTTCATTCGGCAAGCCTGATATCCTGTGGTTTGCAATGTCAGAGAAACCCTCGATGCGTTTCAACAAATTTCAAAAAAGTTTCCGAAACTGAGGGAACGTGTGAGTTAAACGACAGAGGAGTCTTCTCTCCTGAGGAAGGATAAGAACTCGAATATGACGAAGAAGCTATTTACACTCAATTTTACTCCAAAAAGGTAACAAAATGTGTCTTATCTATTTTAAGTATTGATCCACTTAAGAAGTGGGCGTCTTCAAAATCGTGATCGCGATCACGGCCCACAAAACCCAGTGGCGGTCAGTGTTTACATTAAGGAAAATTTCAAAGTATCTCCGATGGAGAAAATATCATCTGTCTCTGAAAATGACTTCTAACAATTATGGCTGAAAGTGTAAAAGTCGCTGCTCAAAGTCATTCCTTATCTGTACAGTTTATCGTCCGCCGAGCACACCATTTAACTTCCTGGATGATATTGCTGAAAATGTCATCAGGAGTATTTTTTACTAGGACTCGATGTCATCATACTGGGTGATCTCAACTGGAACTTCCTTCGAGATAATATGGAGTCTGGCGTCCTCATGGATTTTGTTCGACCTTTAATCTCACACAGCCAATCAACAAACCAACTAGAGTTACAGATAATAGCGAATCCTTGATTGACGTTGTAATGACCACAAACGAAAACCTAGTAGCTTTTAGTGATGTCCTGATGTCAACTATTAGCGATCACAACCTCGTAAATATAACACTGAAGCCAAAAAAGCCAAGAATCAAGCACTCTTACGTAACCATCAGAAGCTACAGAAATTACAAAGTCGACAACTTTCTACATGACCTCTCCCTCACGCCTTTTCATATAATTAGTCTATTTGACGAATTAAACGATCAGGTTGACGCATTCAATGACTTGTTCTTGGAAGTCCTAAATCATCACGCACTGGTCACAATGGTTAAAATTAGATCCAAACCTAATCCATTTATCACACCAGAAATTCGTCAACTGATGAGAACACGCGACCAATGGCGCAAACTTGCTTCGAAAACAAAGGATCCCCTTCACCGGAATGGTTGCAAATTTTTTCGTTAAGAAGTTAAGAGGGAGATCCGAATAGCTGAAAAAGCTTACTTCAGGGCTCAAATTCTGGAGAGTCAAGGAAATTCTAACTCTATCTGGAAAATCATTCATCTTTGTCTGCTTCGTAAGAATCAAGATGACTGAACGAATTTTTCACTTCTGTTGGTAGCCTGACTGCCGTAAAAGCAAGTGAGTTGACTTCACAAAACGAGTTCAATTCGAATTTCGAAGTGCTACCACCTGCTCTTGTTTCTTCCACAGCAGTCAAAAATAATCCAAAGTTAGGGAGGCCACGCAAAGTCAGGTACAAAATGTGATCAGAATATTACAATACAATACAATACAATACAATACAATACAATACAATACAATACAATACAAACTTTATTGACACTCCCTAAGAGGGCTTTTCAGTGACAATTAATAATTACAATAATAAAAATGTTTAATCTATAAAGCTAAAAATAATTACGAAAATTACAACTAAGAAACTTTAAGAAGGTACGATGAAATGGGTAAGATAAAAACTAAGAAACTTTTAAAAAGGACAATAAAAAATATATGATATGATTAAAAACTAGGACCGAGGAGAAAGAAAAGCAGCAAATAATTTGGCCCTAAGTTTACGCTTAAAATTAGAAGAAGAATTACAAAGTTTAAGATCATTATCTAAACTGTTCCACAGGCTGACAGTGCGATAATAAAAAGTTCTTTGTCCAGATTTAGTTTTGTATAATGGTATGTGCAACAGTTGGGAGCTTCTGGTCGTGCGACCGCTAACATTACCGCGCGTTAGAAACTTCGAAGAGAGGTAAGTAGGAGCAG